TCTCTGCCCTGTCTGCCCCGGTGGCCTCAAATTCACCACCATCCACTTTGCCTGCATCCAGCAACTGATCTAGCGCATCCTGGTAAGCCCGAAACTGCCTCCCGTTGGCCCCGACCTCCTCCAGCAATTACAGGAGCGCCACAGCTTCCACGGTATATGGACCCTCCACGAACACCTTGGATCTTTTCTCCAGCATCCAGAATAACCCCCGCACCCACACCCGTCTCTGACACATCTACAGATGTTTCCCATACCCGGCTGATCACGCTGTTGAAGTATTACCTCCAAATTCCGGTCCAAACCTAGTCATCGCGCCTGTTAATTCCTCCTGGTCCAAACCAAGTCATCGCGCCTGTTGGTTCCGCCTGTGATACTTCCGATCCAGGCCAACCAGCATATACCGAGTGCATCCGTGGTCTGGTGCGGCATCGGTTCACCCCCAACCTCGCTCCTCAACCGAACTATGACGGTTAACCTGGTCCTACTCGGCATTTCGTACTCTGCACTAGTCCATTCCACGGCATTACACGGTGCAGACCCGTACCGTACCACAAAGGTGGGTACGCTACTTAGTAGGTCAGCAAGCGAATACGTGGCACACTCGATGATGTCAGTTTTTTTTTGGGTAGCACCGGCCTGAATTGACCCAGCGCATATCCCCCATCGTCGACTCACTTGGCCCAAGCTTCAAACGGGAATTTACTGACCACTTCTTACACCCATCGATCTTTGATTTATGTTTGAAGAAGCAAACGAACACCTACGCATCTACTCTTCGTGTATATATTCGATTATGCCGAGTTGCTCTAACCTGATATAGTTTTGCTAGTTTAAAAGCATAAATCAGAATGTAATAATTAAATGTGATCATCGTATGTTATCACCGATTGCATTTATATACACCTAGCATATATTTATTACATGATGCGGAAAATATATTGTTTGGCCACAGTCTCAACTGATTCATCGCGAGTTCTGCAGTCATATTTTATCTAGTAGTTGTGAACCTGCATGTATGCATAAGTCATTCACCACTTGAGAGACTACAGGAGTATACTTATTTCTAAACACGTTAATAACTTTTATGTCGTCAGCCCAAGAGTAATTTGGGACTTGTTCTCAAATTAATATATGTATAGGTGGGTCAGCCAGAGAGAACGTAAGAGTAATGTGAGACTTCTTCTCAGATTATTCTATTTATAGGGCACGGGCCACCGGCTAGCCGAGAGCCGAGGTCTGAGACTGAGTGTATGTATCAGAGAATTAGATATATTTATTTCTAGAAAATATATCCGAGTGCTAAAGTGTTCTGCACAAAGTTTCTCATACTGATCATATGAGTTTTTACCCTGGCCCACCAAAATGGTTACCCACTAGTGCAAACACCATCAGTATATAACTGAGGGTGAGATCAAAAATAAATTGATCGAACGCACCACTCTTTAGATACAGTTGCACTTGATTTAAAGTCTACTACATTGCACTATAACACTACTTCCAACAACGAGATACACAGTGTTCAGTATCCAGACTACTGCCACTGATCACTATGTCGTCCAACATTCAAAAGATATAAAGTCTTAGTACTTTATGAAACGTCAATACAGTTCATGATATAAACTCCTTGAGATAATTTTTTGTTGATTCTGAAACGACAAAAGTTTTTGAGCTACCAAATTGCCTGACTTGTTTTTCGTCATGGTTAGGCTGTATTGTAGATAGTCTACAGATAACTGTTTAACTTCCTCGACTATAGGCAGTGTCTGAGCCCAACAATCACATTTACATACTCATTTTAAATATCGAGCTTGTGCGCGGATTTACCCGAACTCTAGTTTTCAAGTGTATGTACTCCTATCATGTTCTAAAAACCAGCCTTCATAAGTATACTATTATCCGTACCATATGTAGCATGACACATGGCCTTCACGATACGCAACATACAACATTCTGGCCACTAGCTTCGCCAAGAAAAGCTGTTATCTTCTACACATTCATTTATAGTTGGAACTATTTTTAAAGGAATTGTTATAAAGATAGTCTATGGGAAAGACTGTATATTCGTATGTCATGATTTTATTTAAACTTTAGTGCGCTAGTTTCTTAGTAGCTGCCAGACGAAGTGAGATGTTATATACGATCTATTCTTCGACCGTATCAAACATAGTGCCGGACTCACACTCAGTACAAATCAAAATCAAAATCGGACGATTCACTAGTCTTGTCAACTAGTTATAACGAAGAATATAAAAACAGCATGACAGTGATATAAAAAGCAAAACATGAAAACGATATCAATGGTAAGACCAGATCAATCGTGAGGAGGTGTTGTGTTGGTAATAATTCTCAATTCAGTGGCATTATTTTCATACTCGCAGCATGGCTATAGATTATGAATGGTATAAGCGTCGCTCAAAGTAGTGCGATTTTGAAGAAAGTTAACATATTCAGGTACTGGCTTAGTCTGCTCACTGAGATTGAACATGGTATTTGAATAACCCCGGCTGTGATCAAATTGGCCAGTGGATTTCGTGTAATTCGGTCCTTATTCGCAGTAGCAGTGAACCTATAATTATATTGCATACTTGACACTGTGCTCGGTAGAAGGGTCCTTGGGAATTAAGATTAAGATTAATATAGGGCAGAGAAATTACAATATCGTTGTAAATCGTGGACGGAGGCAGCTAGGGGCTAAAGCAGTACAGTAGAGTGCTTTAGTAGCAAATTTGGACGCCCGACCATGAGAGAGTGGCGTAAAGAATCTATCATGTGAGATTGATGGAAGGACAACGTTTGGATGCTTGTGCTATGAGAGTGTTGTAGTAAAGCCAATGCCGATGAATTGAAGGCGTTTATAGAGTCTATAGATAAAATATGTCATAAGGGATTAAGGCAGCACCAAAGTGGGGCATATTCTATGGGGATGTTGGAGTAAGGGTACGTTGTGTATGAGTGTATGAGAGTGGGGGTGAAATACCCTGGCGATATCTAAATGCTCTAGGATGGGAAGTATAAGTATGAAAATTGTAATATCAGTCCTGGACGCTGTTGTGGAGTACGAGAGCCACTCATATTGGGATGCAAGGAAGTATTTGAGGTGGAAGTGAATTACTGCTAGCTGAATCCACACATCATTGACTGTCAGCCATGGGATTATAGTACCAGAAGTATTCCTGGTAGGACCTAGCAGTTTAGAGAATCTAAAGATAAAAAATATCATCAGGGATCCTGGCAGCACCAAAGTGGGGCATATTATATGGGGATGTTGGAGTAAGGGTACGTTGTGTATGTGAGTGGGGGTAAAATACCTTGGCGATGTCTAAACGCTCTAGGATGGAAAGTTTTAATATGGAAATATAAATATCAGTCCTGGACGTCGTGGAGTAGGAGAGTCATTAAGATATATTGAGATGCCAGCAATTACTTGAGGTGTATGTTATATACATTTCGTGGTATTTTTACGACTTCACTAGCTTTTCAAATATGAATTAGGAGGATGCAATTCCTACATACTGAAACTTACCATGGTCTTAGATCAACGATATATCAATATAGGATATTGAATTTCGGAGCGTTTATTACCATATGGTCTGCATCGACAGAGAAAGCTATATACGCGAAAGTTATGATCGCGGCATTCGTGAGCGTACTAAAATACATGTATCCCATTTTAGGGTGCAGCATTCGATGCATATTACTGTAGATGTTTCGGAGTATATGATTGCCGCGCTAGTGGGTGACATGATTTTATAATAGGTTCTTATGTTTCGAAAATAATCAGATATGAGATGTGTCAATGACTCCTGCTCGTTTGTACTCAACTGGGGTCTCTCGCTTAGGTAGACGACACTCACACTCATTCATAATTAACTACTGTTCATGTGCAAAATTCATTCATCCTACTTTAGCGGCAATAACATCTATACTTTCAGGGTATATACTATTAACTATGGCAGTGTCGATTATTTTACTGTAAACTATAATACGCAATCACGAAAAACCTGACCAACACCAAGATACACCCGCGTAGGCCGCACATCGCATATTTGAAAGTACAATAGTATATCGCTCTAAGATTCTGTATTACGATGAGCTAGGAAGTATGTCTGTTTAATGATTTCCGTGCTAACACTAAATACTCAATGTTTTTCGGATGGAGGTCCACATCAAAATACCCTTTCACCAAGGTGCGGCTGACTGTGTCTTCAACCTTTCTATATTAGCAAGCAAAGTAAGATGGCTCTTGAGTGAAATTTCAACCGCAGAAAAATGTACGAGTCGCGTATGGATGCTTCAGGAAACTACAAAAACTTTCTAGTAGGTAGTGTTAAACAGCAAAAACTACCCATCCACATGAACAAACGCGACAAAATCATTAATAATATATTTGAAAAAAAGGGATTTGCGATTGGCATTCTCTAAAAACATAAGCGTGGAATAAGTGCTAGTAGCGCGAGTGATAAAACTACATATTTACAAGGAGACACAGATAAGGTAATGATTTAATACAATAATATCGGTCTTTCGGTTGGAGCAATCAACCTTCGAAAGAAGCAGCTACTACACGTAAATATAAAATACACAGTTGGATTATCTGGATGGATCACGAGTGAGCTTGAAAGAATAAAATAATGTTTTTATAATTCAATTATAAGGCGCGGTCAAATTATCGATATATCACAAACTACACACACATCACATTTTGGGAGGCACACATTTTCTTGTAGAATGAGAGGTTGCCCACCCATCTCTTTCTGATTCATATACAAGAATATAAAACAACCTTAACGAAGTAAATGTGAATGACACTGGCGACAGGCCAAATCGGAGACGGGTTCGAATCTAAATAGACCATGAACAGAAATTTATGTCGACAAGCCTTCACATTATTCCACCGCGCCGTGTTAGATTGTTTCCAAGAATTGGATAATAACACAAGATAAAACCACAGCGTCAAAGGATATCCAATTTCAAGGGGAACGACTCGAAGTAAAAAAATCTGACGAGAACGGGATTTGAACCCGCGCCTCCGAAGAGACTAGCGTATTACTGGTCCATGATAGTGGAACTCCTTAAGCTAGCACCTTAACCAACTCGGTCATCTCGCTTCTGAAATGGTCAGTATATTACAAAATATATATTTCAATATACTTTTGGTTTTGTAAGTCAGGATTTCGTACTATATACTTGTTTGCAACGGTTCATTTGGAGCGAAATCTACAATTTTAAGTCATTGCTGTCGAACAATATGCACTATAAGCAATTAGACATATAGCACGTATATAGTTCCACTGAAAGCAGAAGTTACATTTGTGACTTCAAACCTATCAAAGGTTGAATCGTAGGAACTAAAATAATGGCGATTCAAATTCATATTCGACTCAAAGGGGGAAGATACGAGTTAACAAGCATTTTAAATGAAGTGAGAATACAGAAAATTGAGTAAGTTGTGCTTGCGACCGCTGCTGAAATGTAATATTGTATCAGTATTGCGGTTTGAGTCTTGTTAATTGCATAAGAATTCATTTACCCGATTTTGGTACTGGGACGCCTACAGTACATTGGTTCAGGCATAGAATTGTCTTAAATTCTAGATTAACTAAAGCTCAATAATATGGCCACGCCTGTACGACAAGCGCTCAGAGCTTACATCAGGGACAAGATATTGTATGTGCATGCCGAAAGGGACAGGATTCTTACCTCGACGAGCAACTAAACGAGGAAGTGCAACAGAAGGATGTGGAAAGTGCACAGCACGACAACATGGTCATTTTCACAATGATCCGGATATAGTAGATTTGATGCTTTGAACATATTCTTCAGGGTCCGGTTCTGCAATAATCTCATATATAAAGTATGTGCTGAGCTATCCTATTTAAATTTCCTTAGGGGTAAGAAACAGCACAGGTGTCGCGCCAACACTATATTTTTTTATTTGCGTGCTGGCAACCATTTATTTGAAAGCTTGGAAATAATAGTCACATCCAAGCTTTCGATAGAGGAGCATCGGTTGAGCGTCATAACTTTTAATGTCGGGTACGCTCTCCTATCTGCGAGGTATGTATTTCAGAAGTAGCTAAGAATAATAATAGCTAAGCTAAACTTCAAATTATCCATGTTGAAGGAAAACTCCGACAACACGCTCACTACATGCATTAAATCTGCTCAGGATTTATATACCTACTGTACATGCAACATAGTCGCCCAACATAACAGTAAACACCACAAGCTCATTCTATAGTCACCACCATTTGCCTGTCGAATCTTTTAATGGCTAATTTTAATCTAGTGTCACTTCGGATCACTGGGCATTGTCATCACACGAGTGCGTTGGAAGAACGGATCCCAGAATTTGATCTCGGCCAAGTTCAGATTCAAATATGTGTAGTTATCGGATTCACTGATTTGTGATTCGAATTCTGTAGGTAGAAAGCCGATAAAAGTCACGCATCAGTACCAAAAGTCACGCATCAGTACCAAAAGTCACGCATCAGTACCAAAAGTCACGCATCAGTACTAACAAATGTGGTTGCTTCTTGGGGTGGCGAGAAATATTTAACGATCGCGGCATAGTGGGAATTTGTAATATGTACAGCATTATGATTTACTCATTGACTGGATACGGTAAGCAAGGCGTTTGCTCTCACAAGAAGCGGGCCCAATACACCGGGGCACGTCATGTTGCAATATGACAAATTGGACATAGTCGCGTACGACCCCGATCTTATAATACACGAATATAGATCGAAATAACACAGGAAGAATGTGCAGGTCAGAGAGCAAGTAGAACCATACACGCGCACAGCAACTTTACCGCTTAGGCGTGCATATCATTTCCTTATGTACCTTATCCACGCCTTTAGGCACAATTAACTACAAAAAGACAATACAGCTTGCTCTATGAAAACCTTAGAAAATAATCGTCATAACCATACGCAAAAGTACATCGACTCTCCAGCGTGGCTCGCAGACACGTCGTACTTAACAGTAGGTTCACGATACGGTTCTTCGAGCTGAGCTATATATGTACGACCTAGGTGTACTAAATAGCTCACAATAACCGAATATCATATAATACCATACCTTCTGGTCTGGTTAGATGAGATTTAACGATTGGATTTCCAACAGACTGCAAATGTTCAGCAAACTGCACAGGCGCATTGCGCTCATCAGTTGTGAGTGTGACTACGCTGAAATCGCCAGCTTCATTGTATATAGCGTTGCTGTAGTGGGTCTTCACCTCAGGTGCTCTCATTCCTCCCCTTCGTTTCCTGTACGCAAGCGACACAATATTTCTCAAGCGATGATACAATAAGAGAGAGCAGGTGGACGTAGCAAGATAAACAAATATGGCACATGCTATTTGTGCAGGGTTGTACTATGCTGTACACTAATCTCTTACACGTACTACTATGATATCTGCTTTTGAAGCAATGTATTCGTTTTGAGTCTCTACATTCTAAAACACTAGCGATACTTTCACCTACTAGAAACGCAATACACATTTCCGGTACTGTGAATACCGATAACGCGATTAAAGCAACAAATGCACACATTCCTGAACTCAATTCCGATGAGTATCAACTCGATAAACAATGATGGTACACAATGTTATTACAACACATAAATATAACGGAAACATACTGCCTGCTCGATGTGGTAGCGGTTTGCTTCTTCGTGACGATTTTACCGGTTGGTGGGTTTAAGCGTCCGTGGACTTGTGCAATCCACCGCTCCTTGTACCCTCCAGCATCCATGCACTGCAACAACCAGAATAAGCGAAAGTGAACTCATTGCAAAAACTAATCTTTACTTTAATGTGCATATTCATTGATGCCAGACTCGTGCGCACAACTTCATATCCAAGTTCAGAAAGAGGATGCTACAGCTTGCCAGATACTCCTCCAATCATAAAAACAGATAAACACTCCGTGTTGTAACAAAGGTACATAGTGATTGGACTAAAGATTGCTCATGTACTTTTCAATCAGAATAAACTGAGTTCGTATTGAAGATGGTTAACATACTTCTTGAAACTTCAATTCGGAGGTCCGTGTGTGTGCCACGATGATCACGCCTGTGTAAATGCAGAATATTACTTCAATGGGGTCGTTCATTGGTGCGAAATTGTGTTTTGTGAGAACTGCTAAATCCGATGCACCTGACGAACCGATCGCAGCAAAATTATGAAATTGACACTGAAGATCAATCGAGAAATATAACCCGTGTTATGAAAGTTATAATCTCCACATCAAAGCGAGGCATTCCAACATGTTTCCGAATTCGAGAAAATGAAAAACTTATGCTGGGCTGCAGGAGAAATGCAATATACACAACATAAGTCCATGCCGCGAGTATCATTTCCAAATGTAAAATATATTTCAAAATTGACATACCACCAATAGCGAAGTCCAAGTTGTTGATGTACCTCACGTCGCGCTTTGGAGCAGCTTTACTGACAAAGTATTTCAAAGTATTTAGATCTCCATAGTTAGTACCCTAGAGTGGTACGGATTAGAGATAAATACCAGGTCAATGATGATTATAATGCGGAGCGTGTAAAGCCGGATGAGGCATTTTTGTGTGTCCGCCTAAGTGTTTAGAATGAGACAACGGAAGCGCCAGCATGCCAATGAACACATATGCTGTCAGCGTGAGCGATCGGCAAAATACCTTTGCTTGATGTGGGCTGTTCTCCGTATATAACAGACAGTCCGACAACGCTTCGACAACTTAAATCGCTTACTACTAAACATCTTTACAGACACTGTGCTTTAGTGGGTGGTAGCAAAGCGTCTAATAGTACCTTAAGATGCATGCCTGGTGGTTTGTAGTATACACTGTACTGGCCTGGGCCCTTATCGGCTATTAGCACCGGTTCCCTGACTGGCCTCCAGTCGAGAAATTCTTTATTATAGTAGAAGTTGGCCTGCAGAGAGGAAGCGTGCATATAGAACAACCACGATACAATCGCATTTGGCAGTGTAACAGATAAAAATGAGTTCGTGGTCAACTGCGGCCCATATGTAACGATGGGAAGACACGAAGCAATGATGCTCAGGGGCTACAGCAGATCTACAACCCAAGATTGCGATAAGATTGAAGAAGTAGAAATCATGCAGAACCAATTGACAGTGTGGTGGCATCAACTATATGAAGTTCTTGCATGATACCGGTATTAAGTACAAGGTTTGCAAGTACTGCATAGACGTACAATGAAATATGAAAATTAGATCGACTGCAACAACTTTTTGTTGAGATTCACGAGTTGCAGATCGATCTTGAGAATAAGTGTCTCTGTGCATAGTTTTGGACATTCCGCTTTCGCACTTTGTTGCTTTGTACGAGCCAACAAATATGAAGATTCAAAATGAAGTATAATGTATACCAGGGTTATGGTATTTTGATAAATACACAGTGGAGGTGCATGAAAATACATCAACTCTTATATCAATACAAAGAGTGACAGTGCTGCGCCAAATTCTGCATGATTCCAGTTTGAAACTCTATTTATCAACAAGGTATGAAAAGTGCTTACATAATGTTACGATCGTCTGGTACTCTTTTATTACTTCTGCACACTAAACACTACAGACCACCTAGTTAGAAGTGTACCAGTCTCGAACAAATAATATCAGATGCTATCGCACCCCATTAATATTCGAATCATCAGCAATCGAGCACAATCACAAACTCAAATAGAACATTACGACCTGGTTAAAGCTGCCAGTCAGATCTTACCTTGCTACCCTTAGATTGCAATGGAAGACTATACGGAGTTCTGATTTGCTTTCCTAATCGCCAGAGTCCACCTGGTTGATCCAAACGTATATTGTCAGTATAGGCCAAGTTGTAGATATTGTCTACACAGCACATTGTGGATTAAGCCGGTTCAGCTTACGAACTGACCCAAATAATACCGCATTTCAGACGCCATTTGTACATCATCAGCAATTGAAAAACCACCGAATGCGCACTTCGGTCATCCAGCAACACACGCCACGCGTATTGAACATTCTTATCCGCTTTCAACAAAGTATACGTTGACCGGATTAAATCATACACGACGAGTCAAATACACCGATCCGCCAGAAGCTACATACCGGCCTCTGCGCTGCGTTTGATTTCCGCCTCTGGAAGTTGTGTCAAGCCCGTTAAAAGGTTAAGCAAGGCAGTGCTCTTTGATTCTTTGCTAGCATTCTCATCCAGCTCAAGATCTCCGTACTGTATTTTGGTGACTTCCAATTTCGTAGGACTGTGAAGTTTCCACCTCATTTGAGAGACAAACTCCTCCTTCCTATAGGAAAACATAAAATGATCGAGAACTATTGGAAAAGGTACAACTGTAAAAACGTACTCGGCCTCGATTCTGGCCCAGTTCGGGGACCGCTACATTGTTTGCTTAAAGGATGTTTGAAAACACAGTTCTGGCGGCTAAAACAACTCTAGTACATTAAATCTACTTTCGACCACAATTCGAACTTGTATTATATTCTGATGTATTTCGATCAGCACTTGGACAGATACTCTGCTAGGAATATTAACTTTCATCTTCAGTTCTGACTTCTATCTGTCGAGTGTATCTTTCAAACCTGTTTACAGGAAGCTATTTTGTAATAGCCATTCATAGGAAGGAAGAACTCGCATAGAGTGATATAGCATGCATCGCCCAACAATAGGGGAAAATAGAGTACTAAATATCGACTAGCGCGAAATAAAGTCCAACTGAAAAATGAAGATACACACTTTTTATTGTTCTTCGATGTGTCTGTCTTTTCAGGATTCCAAAATCGCTCCTCTGCCTCCTTTGGCGATACTTCTGTTTCATATTTTTGAGGTTTATCTAGATCCCAGAAATCATCCGTCTCCCCTGCCGGGAGTTTATATGTTTGCGCAGGCTTCTTGTCCTCAAGGGGGTTCTGAGCCGAGGCGAACCCTCGGACGCTGCATATCCTTAATGTATTACACTGGAAACGATTTAAGCATATGTAAACAAACGAGACCTGAAGTAAACTATTCATGATGGTACAGTGAGAAATGCATTTAATTTATATAAAATATTGTATAAAATACAAGTTCCCCGGACGAGAATTTAAGCCCACTCACCCAAAACGAGCAATCATTGACTCCATGCAATGGCAGGACGATGGTATCAACCACCTACATACATATTATACACAAAAATAAAAATAAATCACATACATACAGTGCACATCCATATATGGATTAGTGCTCAAAAAAACATAACATACGTACACATATACTTTGTGTTTTGATTTCTATGGCTGTTTGTATCTATTAACAAAAACACACATTTAAACCACACACAAGACACAAACACATACACAGACACAGACAAGCAGGCACAAAGACACGTAGGCATAAAGAGATATATAA